TGGAGGTCGCAATTATCTAAATGTTCCTTCCATTTACTAAGGCGATAATCGTCCACCATTTTACGGATGTTATTGTTCAGGATTTTTATGTGTGGATTGGTTGGGTTCAATCTTCGAAGATTGCCGCGTTCTTCAGCAAGAGGCACAGCGTCACTAGGAAAACCTGGTCTAATGGTTTTAATTCTACCTGCTGGGACGGCTGTGGCGGCAGCTTTGATAATTATGCTGCGAAATTGTTTCTCTGCCTTGTTCAAATCAGAGGACAGGGAACTGTTGCTGAAGTCGCGTTCTGAAATATCTTTGAAAAGGGCCCAATTCGCTTTTTTGAAATTCCTGTAGGTTTTCTTGTCAGCCGCAGTGAGGACCTCGATCGATGGAATAGAAATTGTGATGGGAGTGTGATCCGAGCTTAAAGCTATATCAACACTCCAATTCGAGGCAGCGAGAAGCCGAGGGCTTGCGAGACTGACATCAGGAGAGCTGGAACAGGTTGGCGTTACCCTAGTGGAGGAGTCCTCATTTAGAACACCAAAAGAGGGAATGGTGTGCATTCAAATCACCCAGAACAAAACGCGAGTCCTCATCTAGAAGATGTGAAATATTTGGGGTGTGCTGCGGAGGGCAGCTAGAGTTGGATATCAAATAGATATTGATTAGTTCAAGGAACCTTAAAGACCTACCAATGAAAATTTTTAACCCTATAATCTCCAAGTATTCGTCATTAGACGAGGGCAAAGAAAGCTCAAAATGATATGTAGAATCCCGCAACAGAAAAGCAACGCCACCTCCTGCGCCTCTAGGTCGACCTTTACGAATAAGTGTAAAGCCTGAGGGGGGAAAGAGAGGGAAGTTGGGCAAAAGTTTAGTCTCCTGCAGTGCAGCTACTGCAATGTTGTTGGAGGACATGAATGCTGCAATTTCAAATAGTTTCCTTCTTAGACCATTACAGTTGAATTGTAGAATTTTGAGAGGGGATGAACAATTAATTACGGAGACTACGCTAGTACGTTGCAGGTGTGAGTGGTTTTGTGGTGGAATAATAGGCGGAGTTTGGCAGCAATTGCCAATGAAATTTGAATTCCAACCATGATGCGAGACCAATCCGGAGCAAGGTCTAAGGTGACACCAGCCATTACAAGAATTCCAATCACTTGAAGAGTCCTATTGGGGGATGTTAAACGATTCTTGGTCGTCGTTGATGACGAGTGGCTCCGGGACGTAGACCCGACCGTTTGTGGAACCAAGCAGGCCATATAATAGACATGCCAAGGCCATATAATAGACCTCGGCATGTCCAACCTAGATTATACCCTGCATATGAAAGTTTTAGATGAGCTAGACTCTGATCATAAACCGGTTCTATTCATTCTTCCCATGAACTGTTCCATGAACACTATGACCCCTACGTTATCTACCAGCGACTGGAACGCGCTCAAGAACTTGGTAGACGTTAGCTGCATCAAAAACCATCCAGAAACCTCAGAAAAATTGGATAACTGTATACAGAACCTGGCCCATCTATTAAAGCATGCCTCTGATAGCTCCACCCTCAAATATAGGAAACCATACAGTTATTTTAACTTACCGCAGCCTATTAAAAACATGATTAGAAATCAAAATAGAATCCGGAAATTTACTCAAATAACGGGTGACCCGGAGAGCAGAAGGGAGGCCAACCGTCCTTCAAGTGAAATCAGGAAAAAGATTTATATATTTAAAAACGTGAAATAGGGTGAATTTCTCAAGGGTCTTGGAACAGCCTTTTGGGTCATAAATAAATACTTCAGCCTGAAGCGTAAACCAGTAATACCACCCATCCATAGAGGAAC